ATGATAAGTATAATATTTAAAAATAATAATAAAAAATAAAACAAACGGGTCAACCCATCAACCCGCGGGTTGACCCTAACCCGACCCGTAACCCGTACGGGTTGATAATACGGGTTATCTACGGGTTGCGGGTTGAGATATGTATACCCTAACCCGTTTTTTAAGGGTCGGGTTAGGGTCGGGTTAACGGGTCGGGTGGATTTTTGCCAGGTCTATCAACAAGTAACTCCTTATCTAACGGGAAAAATGATCATATTCCATTTTTCTTTTAAAAAAAGACTAACATCTATTTCTTCTCTCTTGTGCTTCTAAAAAAATTGAGAAAAAAACAGGGCAAAACACGGGAAACTCAAACCATTCCGGCTACAGAAACAAGTCCAATTGTCCAATTGAACATTTGATAAAAGTTAGAGTTCATCATGGAGATCTTCGTAATCTTCTGATCCATCATCGTAGAGGGTGTTGTAGAAAAGATTTTCATGATTTAGCATCTCAGCCATTGACAACTTACCATCTTCGTTATCATCAGCCTATGATCAATCATTTCGACCAAAAACGAAAAATTAATGAGACTCAAATTGAATTCGGAAATCTAATCCGAGATTTGAAGGTTTCAGGATATCCCTGCCTTACCTCGTGAATCAAATAACTTGTGTAGTACTTGGCATAAGATAACTCTCCAGGGTAAAGATACCGAAGCATAGGTTTCAGCTCCTCCACCTCCAAGAACTTGTCCTTGCCGAGATCAACTTCGGCAAATTTCTCTTCGGCGGTGGGTACATATCCGCCAGCTTCAAATGCAATGTAGTTTTTGTAAATGTCATAGACATGATCTAGAAATTCTTTGAAGTTGAGTTTCATATCATGGTCGTAATCCATTCTTCTGCTTGAAAAATAAAAGAAAATGGGATCATTTTAATGTAGAAAATTATTGGAAACGAAACAAGAAAGTTGTTTGGATGACGAGAAAACAGTACTTCATCCCATTTATGAATTCTTTCATTGTTACTGTCTTCTGGAAGCAAAAAACTGCAATGGAAGAAAACAAAACATGAATAATTTAAATTCAAATAGTCAAAAGTCGAAAGTTGAAGATAGGAAATGAAAGTTACTTATTAAATTCATCCACACTGAGAGAACCACTCCAATCAGCACCTGCATTGTCGAATTGCTTTATCCACCAGCCAGCCTCTCCATGCCCCATTCTAAGTTCAGTTATCACTGGAAAAACTCCGATCAGTACTCTGTTTTCAGGGAAACAGGGGAAAGGAAGATCAACGGAAATTGAAATTTTACCCGTATCATTCTTGGTAAACTGAGGCAGATACTCGTTGAAGCTGATGGCCCCATCCCCATTTTCGTCACGCGACACCATCTCTGCATGCGTTCTGTAACTCAACCGATCCTGCGCTTGTTTGATGTTCCAGGTCTCCAGCTCCTCGAAGCTAACGACCCTATCGGCCGGTGAGATGTCCAACAGAGGAAATAGAGTGATCAACCTCTTGGTAATGTTCAAACTCCCTCCGTCGCTGAAATACTCCGATGCATCGACAACATCGGAAAGGTAAGAAATGTTTTCCTGGTTAACGGGGTTTTTGATGCCGACTAATCCTCTTTCCTCCAGGGATCTTTCAATTCTGGTGACCAGAGGGTCGAGAGGTACCGCCTGGAAATCTGTAGCCAAGCCGGCGGCCTGGGATTAAGTGGTCTAGATATTGGCGGGTATTCGTGGAAAGGACCAAGTAAAAGAAGATGGCGGTGGCTAGGAGGGTATAAACTACCTCCTTCGCCATTGAATGGCAGCAACGGAGGTGGGGGTGGTGGGGGTAGAGGTTACATAGAGAGAAGAGGGAGGAATGGAGGGGTAGTGATATTTTGGTCTCTCCTCCCTTATTTTCTTCATTATTTTTATCTGCAGCCTTTATGCTGGTGAGGGGCGGTGGGAAAAACGGTTATTGACAGTTAGAAGTGAGGGGCAGATAAACCACCAGCTAGGTTTAGATGTTTGCCAGATTAAGAATGGCTGGGAATTGGCTATTCATTTGAGTAGCAACAAATAAAGCAAAGCACCACTTATTTCTATAGAAAGAAAAAACCTAGATAGAAAGGGAGTTAACAGGAACATGAGTGCTGTACATTCACATTGCATTTTCTCCTCTTTGATTTTAGGAGAGAGATACCAGGGTAAAGAACATCCGAGTGCCCTACATTAGCGTATATCAGTTAAGATGGATCGAAGGGTCTATGTATTGTCACATATACATGAATTATTTCTGAGTACTACAGCTGGGGCTCATGAAATAACCTCCAGGTCATTCAGTTTTATCAGCGTGCCGCATCCACGGCCAGTCCTTGTCACAAAGATCACAAGGGGAGCTACCATCATTGTCCTCTATGTCCCTGTCTGCATTGTGCTTCACAAGATATTCAGCTATATCTTCTCTCTCGCACAAAACAGCATAATGCAATGCAGTTTGGCCTTCATTGTCCTTCAAATGGAAAAGTAAAGAGCTCAAGAACAATGACCATGACAAAAACAGAAACAAAGAGGAGCCAGTTCCAAATTTACAGATTACAGTTGTCCTCACCTAGGTCCAAGAAAAGATTCAGCACTCCTTCAAGAAGAGAAGGAGGGAAGAAAATGGAGAGAGGACAAAGCATGGGAAGCACCAATAGAAGATTTTAGAATGGCAAAGTTTAGACAGTAACCAGGGGTCAACTCCAAGGAGTGTGTAGGGAAAATTTTAAGGTTTGAATCTTTGTTTGTGATAAAGGATGGGGATCTTGTAGCTTTGTATAAATCTTATAAGTTCTTTTCCAGGTCATGGGTTTTAAGGCAATTAAGTTTTAAAGAGACCCATGTTCCTTTACAGAGAATATCAAAGCCTGCACACCATATTTTTGAATGGCAGAAATAATATTATCAAGTATAAAATTATGATGCCTACAAGAATAATTACCTTTGCATTCACATCAGCTTTCCTGCTAACAAGCAATTCAGTGATGTTATGATGGCCACGATCTACTGCCCAATGCAATGGGGTCCGGCCTTCACCATCTGCAAGCATCAAAAGTGAACTCCACTTTGGATCAAAGAAAAAAAAAAAGAAGAAAAAAGAAAGAAAGAAAAGGAAAGCACACATGTAATATATACACATGCAGTAAGTTCAATTCAATACAAGTGTTTAAGGGAGTGACAAAAATTCTAGATGTTGCACTGGGGAAAATGATATACTCCATGAGAAAAAGGAAAGGGAAAAAGAATGGAAGATAAGATATGCAAAAAGCATTATACTCACATGCACTTACAAGGCATGAAAGTCTAGCTATTTGACTTCTTAAATTTACCTTTACACCAATGACGAAAGGAGACTATAGACTGAAGCACACGTTAAACAAGATTGTGTTAAATAATGAGGCTATCACTATCAAGAAACAAACCTTTCAAATCCACTGAAACACCACTTTCAATACATTTAATCAAATTACCCAGTTCTCCTTCTCTAGCAAAATCATGAATGGCGTCCATTTTCCTAAAAATAAAAATAAGAAACCTTTAGCATTTACTTCACAATTTCTTAGCTACCAGAATAGAACTTACTTTTAAGGTAGTAAAAAAAATAAAGGTTAATTCATCAAGCAACTGCTTAGAAACACACAACCTTTATACTAGCAGGAACTGTTCCACATTCAAGGAGAGGGAAACACGTCAACAACAATAAACTGATATTGACTTATAATTCATGATTGTAAAGAAAAACTGATTTCTCCCCAACAGTAAAAAAGGAGTCCATAAGATCCAAGCCAGGTATCTCGACACTGTTTATGCCCAAAATAAAAAATGAACTAGCAAACCTCTGGCAAAGGTGCATTCATTGAACCTGGTGAACAGAACCAGACAAATGTTGTGCTATACATGATCAAGGTACTCATGGCCAAAAAAAAAAGGTGTCCTCTAATTCTGGAAAAAAGACAATAGATGACACGGAAGAGTAAAATACATCAGCTTGCTGGGTAAAAGATTAGTAGAACTAAAACAGTGTTTACTCCTGAGAATACGATACCTATTATGAAGAAAATGAAACAAATGGCATGGTAGACCTTATCCTTCACCAAAGGAGAAACTCTTTTTTTAGGTTATTTTTCTTAGTTCAACTTCAGAAATATACAAATGACTTGATGAATTGACATTTTAAATGCTCCTATATAGTGCAGTTCTAATAACCTTACATCTCATTTCCGGACTCCTCCTCATATATGAAAGAGCTGAAAACTGGTCCCATTGGTCCCTTAGCATCCTTTCCTGGAGCATTATCTGCCCCACCTTTGCCCTTCTAGACACTCAAAACATTGGCAGTAAATCAGAGAACAGAATTGAAACAAAAGAAAGTAAAGCTTAAAAATAACAAAACATGGCAAGATTAGTCAACAATAAAAGGAAAAATTAAAATCTCACCAAAGCTGCACCAGAAGCCCAAGTTGGAAATAGCTCTGTAACAACATCAATATATTTCTGCATTGCATCTTCCGGAGGCATGGCACCCAATTTTTGCCAAGCTTGCCTAACACAAAAAATAACCAAATTTAATTGTCTTACACAATTAACCAGAGAGAACACATATATAACAGAGGTAGACAACTAGCAAGTAGAACATATGTTCAGAGCTAAAATTACATATCTTTCATCCCTCTCTTCTATCATTAATTTCTACTAGGAGAACTAATGGAGTAGTCATTTCTCTCCACAACCTATTCAAGAAGTCAGAGTTTACACCTTACAACATCGACAGCAGCTCTTCCAACGGTAACACCTAAAAAATCGTTGGAATTAACATAATCCTAATACCTACTTTAGGGAAACTAAATTGTGCAAGTTCCATATTTCTCAAATTAAACCTCTCAACAAAGCGAATAACTGAAGCAATGGCAACAAACACAACATACCACTTAGCGCGAGCAGTCATTTTCAACGCGGAAGGCTGGGGAGAACTGCAAGGCCCTTCAGTGGCAATCTTGTAGAGCCCATAAAGCTGCAGCTGGATATCAGTCGAGACCTTATGAGACGCACGATCCGCTGCAGTTGCCGCCACAAACGCCGTAGCCGCACTAAATGCCTCATCAAGTTCCGTACTTTCCACGCCCTCCCAATCATCATCGTCATCATCATCATCAGTCCCAGCTAAACTCTCGTTTCTATCGCTACCCACTTCAGCCATGACGGAATCCACCTCAAACACACCCCCAAAATCGCCATGCCCATGCGGGTCGGACCCATGAGCAGCCATGGGTTTTGAATCTTCAGCGCGGACTCGGTCCCGGGTGATGGAAAGATTGTCTTCCTTGAAGGAGACAACTAAAGAGATGAGCTTTGCGAGGAGGTAGGAGAAGAGGACACCTATGAAGATGGATTGCAGGAGCTGCTGCCACTCAGCCATGACGGTCTGTGATTCCAAAACCAAACCCTAAACCTGGAAAAATATTGGGAGA